TTGTGACGTATTTTGACCCCCGGATTCTGACCTTGCATTCTTGCCACATTTACTTTCATACCCGTTCAATTTCCTTCCATTATTTCATCCAGATTCCATGATATTTTATATTTAAAACCAACCTTTATTTCACAGTCACTCAAGTTTTCACTTTTCTAAAATTATCTTACTGATCAAAAGACTTTTCACTCCCATCATGCAATCTCCCATAGTACTTCCGCAGACACAGCGGCGATCGCCAACATATCTACAAATAACCTCGCTCTCAGGAGCTGAGGAATAAACTGTAATCAGAGAAAATGGGTTTTATACGCACAACAGTTTGTCATCCCGTTTCGTTTAGTTTCGTTCCATTCCGTTCTGTTTCGTTTCGTTTTTTCGATTACAATAAGCCAGATTCCAGAGAAAGATTGACTGGGCGATGAGTATTCTGGCAAACTGACAATGGGACCAGCCATCATGCGAAAAATTGAACGGGATACTCACAACGCTAATATTATTAATATAAATCCATTGACATCTCAACAAACTACCGATCAAAAGAATTTAAATTTATCGTTTCTTGTTAATATTCATTCCCAGTTTTATGTTCGTATTATATTTCTCCCATGTGTTACACAGCAATGATTTTTATACCTACAAAGCAATGGAATATTCCAACTACCCCTTGTTCCTCGTGGCCACACATCAAGGCATACCGCGTCCGGTGTTTTGATTAACTGTCACGTGAGCGGGTTTGCAACTTTATTGCGTCTACAACGGTCGTTGGAGTGTCTAGGGAAGTGTCTGGGGGATGTTGCAAAAAAGTCCCTCGGTAATTATCTACCGCGTGCGGGAGTTATGTGTATGTCAATATCTTGCCCCCGCCGCGCTGTAACAATCGTCGCCGGAAGGCTATCAATATGGGTGACACCAGTCCTATGAATTACTTTCTCCGCAGATTTGCCGCTGTAAAGCTGACAATAGTTTATTTTTTCGCTGGTATATTTTGTATATATTGTTCCGATATATGTAAATACGCAATCCGAGTGGATTATTTGTTAAATGTTTTGTTCTTCGGATTTTTCACTTTAGACGAATTCGTTGAGCATGTTTTTCATTGGGTCTGGACTAAACCAAAACATACAAAGGTACATGATAAACCCAACTACCAGGCATCTTCTGAAATATAAAGTCCGAACCTCGTTATAATGTAGTATAATGTGGGGGTAGTCGTCACGCCGCGTCCTGATATGGGACTCATAGCGACGCATACAACGCGTGTAAAATACATTGTTTATTTACATGAAATTCGAACACGCGCTGCGCTACGACCACCGCGCTTTAAACCTCAGAAGAGTGAGTAGGATGGCTGTATCTGATTTTAAAAACGCAACGCCTCGAACCATCTCTATATTCCTGGAATTGTTGATATTTTTGCAGCCCGGCAACAAAATATAAATGAAATAATCATATACAATTCCAATGACCAACATCGTATTCCAGACAGCTCAACTTACAGCATGTCAAATCGCAGCGAGAGTCTTCTTTGTGGTTTATTCTTAGCACAGTACAACGTGGTTAGTGTTGCATTGCATGTCACGTGATTTGTATAAAACTCCACGGACGGATTTATGAGAACAGCAGCGAATAAAACTCGACACAATTTATGGGAACAAAGACATTTAGTGTAAACACACCCCTGCAATCGAGCATTACGATTGGTCGATAATCACTAAATTCGAGGCATAGGTTGTGTATGAATAAGCACGAATAAAACATTTTAGTTAACTAGTTCCTGTCAAATGACAGTTTAAATTCACAATGGCCAGTAATTGACAAAACACCGAGTGCTTATAAATGGCAGTAGATGCTCGGGCTGATTAAATAGTATTATAGAAAAATTGTACTGTAAAATACTGTAAATCGTGTGAACAGAAATCCGACAAATCCAGGGAACTGTGCATTTATGATCAACCAATCACGATTGCGTGTTGATTGCACTCAATTGGTAAACAATTACACAACTGGTGGCCATCGGGTCAGAGTGCAAACACCTTCGACTTTTTTTTTTAATTCTTGCGGCATTCCGATAATAGTGCCCAAGTTGACGTTTAGTAAAATTGGAATAGAATATAATTGCACGTTTGACTATTATTTAATATTTCGATGTCAATAATGACGTCAAAGTATAATCAGGCAATACACCATAGACTGTAGTTAGAGGACAAAGTTATTCAATGAGAAGTTGGGCGAAACCAGTGCCGTTTAATTTAAAGCATGAAGTTTTTATAACTTAAATCTCAATGGTTCAGTTTGAGGAAAACCCATAGACTGTACGATCTCCTTTATCACACAATACGTAACGCTAGAGGGCGACGTTGCACTTGTCCGTCACTAATTAGGACAAGTCCTCTTTTGAAAAGAGTATTAGCCAACACGCAAAAAGCCCAGTTTTATGTAAACTTTATTTATAACCTTGTGAACGAATGACACCAGGTCATTACTAAATGGCTTGAAACTAAAAATGTAATAAAAACAGTAAAAATACGTTTAAAAAAAAACACATCGAGTGAGATACGTTCTTGTCATTATGGCCACAAGCTCATTGGAAGGCTCGACAAAATGCCCAGTTTTGAATAGTAAAATCGAATATAGCAGAATGAAGAAAGAAGTGTATATACTGAAAGTTAAAAAAATTCAGCGATCTGATTTTAGAAAGGCAAAATGACCTTTGTAATTTTTATTGACGCTCCCGCTTATCGAGCCTCATTTCCAGTTTCCTTGCGCCTCTGACCAATTTTAGGCATACGACGAATTGCCTTCTCTTCGTGATTTTGACGTGCGAGTTTTCGTTCCTGAACCATTGCTCTACGTTCCTCTGGGGTCTTGCGACCACCTTCCAATCCCAGGCTCATCTTCTGCTGCTTGAACTCTGCCTTTAGGTTCGCCATCTTGGCTCTCTTCTCTTCCAATGGGAGGTCGGATTTCTTTATGCTCATTATTTCTTCCTTTCGTTCCCGCATCATGCGACGTTTCTCTTCAATTTCTGGGCGAAGTTTCACTTGCGTCGCTTTGTGCGCCATTTTTCTAGCCTTTTCAATGGGTCTAATTGGATGAGACTTCTTCAGGTCTGTAACCGATGCCGCCTATGGAAGGAAGAGAAACAGTTCGTCAGACTTTTGAACTAAACAATTGATGTGCATTAACATTCGGTGCAGTAGAATAACAAACCTGTCAGGACGAACGATCGAAGTGGAAATTAAATAAACGTGCGACAACTACACTACACAATGAGGGTAAAATCTTACAATTGCCTCCATGACTGCACCGACTGAATTCGGTCGGATATTGTTCCGCAATTCAATTAACCATGTATACAAGTGTGCAATAATGTGAAATGTGACCTTCCGAAAAGCGGTGAAATGTTCCCTACAGTGTTAAGATACAAACCCACCCTATCCACCATGATTACGCAAATGATTTTGTATGACAAAGAATTATTTTTTAAATGCCAGTGGAACGAAATGAAACTAAAAAGAACCGCCATCGGTAAAGCTAAACATTTTCATCGAAAATTGCACTGTAACTATGCCTTCCAGCGAGATTGTCACAACAACAACAAAATCAACAAGTTGGTTGTAACGTGGAACAACGAACAGATTTCGTAGCTGCATTGTTATTCTGTGTACGCATTTGACCTAAACAGTCGCCATGTCTTCATAATGCAAAGAATAACTACATGTACATGTACTTCAAATGCCAAGTTCGCAGTAATAGGTGCCCATGTTCTACGAACAAAAATTGAGACAATGAGAAAAAAACGATTTGTCTCAAAAACATTTAAACCATCTTTCTCAATGCATACTTTGCTTCGAAGTTGATTATTTACATTTATAAACAAAGAAATGGAAAACCAAGAAGAAAGAAACAGTCGTACGCCATTTTAAAAGACAGCTTCTTGTTGGAGCGCACTCACCATGGGTTGTTTGGAGTCTTTAGAATAATCTTCCGCCATAACCATGCCGATAACGGCGACAACAAACACTGCAACTAGTATCTTCATGACAAGGGCTGTAAAGCGTCCAATTTGTAGAGTTTATAAAGTTACTTATTGCAGATTGTTAAAGACCGATGCCTTCGTCGTGTAACTGAAAGAGCTGGGCGAAGGAAGTCTATTTATATACGCGACGTTTATAATTAGAATAACAATAGAGAGTTATGTGTGTTCATTTCAGAGTGTCAACGCACGTGACGGGTGTAACTTAACATAAATACGTCATTCAGAGCTCCAGCTGAGGTCTTTGTAAAGAACGTGTAACCAAAGACACGAGTGTCTTTGGTGGAACCACGTGCAATATAGGGAACTGTTTACAAACTACATTTTTAATACATTTATACTTGAAGTGCGGTCAACGAGAATGTTGGATACTACTGGATGGCACGTCCCGCCTTAGTGATAAATGGTCGAATCCCGATGTTACCCATTGCAGTTGCCAGTAAGAATAAAATAACAATTATTATCGACGCAGTTTTCGTTACAATACTTATCTGTTTTTCCTGGTCACTTTATAATCAAGTATAATAAGTAAATAAATAAATAAATAAATGAATGAATGATTGAATGAATGCAGGGCGAATGTTTCGGCCGTCTCGTGTTACGGCTTATGTTACGTTATATATATAGTGTGTATATGACTGGTTATTAAATACACTATACCATTATATGTGCATTCCCTATTTGTTTGCAAGTATTTCTTTGTCTAGCTCATTTTTTTTCACTTGTGTTAATCCAACTCCCTGTGCTTCAGCCACGGTCCCCAATAGAATATCTGTGAACATATTCTCCCGCTAATGCACGTGTACAGAACGGTTCAGTAAGTTATTTTGTGGATTGTTTCACAGTCCAGCGATTTAGGTTGTCAGTATGAGATCAATCAACCAATGTTGAATAAAATAAAATGTCCCAGACTAAATTGAGCTTTTTTTTGGAATTGTGATTTAAATTTTGTTACTAAATGTTCTGATTATTAAAAAATAAACACAGCACAATTTGACGACTAACTTGTAGAATTCATGTTTCACCATGGAAACTAAACTCAGAAAAAGTACATCTATGTAGCGGAAATAAACGTGTATTCATCAAGCAGAGATATTAATCAATTTCGTATATGACTATCAAAAGGTTTTTAGTTATGCAAATTATCAATATGCATATTTGATAATTTCCATAATTATTTGATGACAATTTTTTATGTGATTTTTAAAATTTTTAATATCTGGGTCAAACGTTGGAGTTACCATGGGAACGTCCCTGTAAGTATTGAATATGTATTGAAAATGTATTGACATTACAGTATAATTATCCACATTATTTAAATACGTATATGTGCGTAACTGCTAATACTAAAATAGTTTCACCATAGACTTAAACTTTCGTTTTCAATATGTTCACGGAAGAGCAGTGATGAGTTATTACCAGCCTGGGAATTCAATATATGTAGTATCCACATAATTTTTCGTCTGACTGGATTGTATTGGATGCAATGAACAATTACCCTGATTGGGTAGCCAATGAATGCGTGTCCATGACGCATGCGCGATAATCTTGAAATCAATATAAGCCCAACTGCTGTCAAAATGTATTGATTATCTGATTGGTTGTCGTGCATATTCTGCGTTTTGAATGCACCAATGAGTGGATGCAAGTTATCAAGAAGCATTGTTATTCAAAGTACCTCTGGGTGCATATAAATCCTCGTGTTCGCCGATTGTTGCTTTCAAATCATCTACTGCGTGTAAGCTTTTCAACGTGTTTCGACTGCAATCATGAAAGTCTACGAAGTTTTAATTCTGCTGTCTGTTATGGGTGCCGCCGTGGCTGAAGAAGCTCAAAAGAAAGAAGAGAAAACCAGAGTGAGTAATAATAAATTAAGTGTTTCTGATATATGCAGCATTAGTAGGTGTTTCATGATCATCTTCGCAAAATTCATTTTCGAATATCGTTCCTCTTTATTCTGCAAAAAATGTTTCTAATGTAACTATTTTTGATTGTGCTAAACTGCATTCTAAGCAAAGTAGGTGGCGAATAGTTGAGACTATTTCCTTTTTAAATATTACTTGAATAAATGTGTTTTCATTGGTATGGCGATTCACGAATCTTTGCGACTCGTTTGTCGAATAGGATTTGTAATCTCCTAATAAAATTATGCACCTTTCATCAACAGATGAATAAACCTGTCGAGAGAGAGCTACATCACCTGTCGCATGAAAAGAAATCAGAACTGGGTAATCACAGAAATAAATATTCGAAAGCCCATCCAGAGATCGAAGGCAGTCCAAAGCTTGTACAGGAAGAACGTACATTGCTGGGGAATAAAAAGAAGAAAATGATGGAAATTAGAAAATCCGAGCTCTCCCCTGAAGCGAAGGCTCTAAAATTGGGGAACGTCAAGCATTACTACAGAAGCCAAATGAAATTTCTCGCGAAAGAGGCAAATAGCCACGCCAAGCTTGCTGCCGAGCGTCGACGCACTTTGGAACAGAGGAAAGAAGAACGTGAACCTGTAGCATCTGCACGTAAACTAGAGAAGAAAAGCAATGAAAAACATCACAAGTTTGGAGACTCGAAGATGAAAAATTAATGAACCCTTTTTTCTGAATATTTTGCAATATATTACAAGAGTTTATTTTTAAATTGTTTGCTTAAATAATTTTTTTTAAATCTATTTTTATGAATGTTGTATCTAATAAATTAATGTGAAGTTATTTGAAAGTGTTGTGACTGGTCTGAATTTTATGGTTATGTGTGAATAACTAGATTCGGCTACTTTCTCCCCAAACGTCTGAAGACGATACTGACAGTTTTAAATTCAATTTGACAAAATTCGATTGGGATTTCTAGTTCTACTAGAACTTGAATTTTACATTTAGTGCAAAAGTTGCCATACTTTAACGTAGCAGTTCAATCACGGGTTGTCGCGGTCAACTTGTTGAAAATAAAACTAAAAAAAAAAGAAACTAGCGATGCTAAACGAAAACTGTCTGTTTATTGAATGCATGCTCACTCTTGGAACAAGAGTCGAATAGTATTACGGAAAATAAAACTTAAAGTTCGAGATTAAATGGCTTTAGTAAAACCCTGAGGCAAGCAGCGACGAAGCCTGTAACTCCAATTTCCTATGTTATATCCACATCTGACCAGCGATCACCGGCCCACAGAAAAAAAAATACCCGATTGTACACGGCGTACCTGATACAATGCTTGTTATAATATCAAGAGTCCGCTCAGTGCAATCATCGCTTATTAAACGTGGAATAATTGTACCACGGCTTTGTTAACGATGCCATAACCACATCAGGTAAAGCCTTTAAGAACAGCTATTAGATTTCCGATGGAGGTTAATTTGGTATTAGATCGTGTAATTGTTTTATAAATTAAATGTAAGGCATTCAATACATATTTTGTATTTATGGAATGCCAATGCAGTCAATTGCTGATTCTTTCAATTTTATTGTTTTTTGTGTGTGGTATAGTTAAGAAATTTTCAATTGAAAGTGTGGGTGATTGGATATAACTCCACACTTTTGGTCTGGGTTTTATCCAATAATCCACTTTGTCGTGGCGTTTCCATTAATAAACAAAGAATAACCAAAAAGTGGAACAATTACTAAAAAAACCCCGGAGCTTTAACTACTTGCTGCCATTACCTTATTATTATTACTGGTGTAGATTGTAAGACGGCGCAATACACTTGTTATTTTTTGTTTCACAAATATATCCCAAATGTGGTCTTTCACTGTAATATATTTTTAAGTAATGCTTATAATCAACGCAAAATATTTTTCGAAAAGTAATATCCCTGCTACTAGAAAGAACTTATTAGTCCCAAATTTCAAACCCTAACACCTGTCCGGGCTCAAAAAAAGTTCAAAAAGGCCAGACACTACTACGTTTGTCATCTACGTATGACAAAAACTGTGACCGATTAGAAATCTACACAGACAAAAAAAGCGGTGTTGCAGAAATAAACACACGACCAGAACAGTAAGTCACATGACCGAATGTGGTATAAACCGTTCTATTTGGGTGCCATGTATTTTCTCTCAACTTGAAGCATGCGTGTAAACTTAGGAAATAGGACATGTCACCAGTCTCTATAAAAGCTTATTCTTTCTAGCAAACGTTTCCGTTAATTTATTAAACACTTTCTTATAACTTTTCAAGATTTATTTTGTAAACCATCTTATATTTCTTTCAACCGACTTTATATTATGTACAAGTTTGGAAGGCTAACAATGTAAAGTTTAAAGTTTATATTCTACCTAACACAATGTGTGATTAGAAAATGCGAAACTAAAAGTATGTTGAATTATCAAAAAGTTGTTCTAAAACCATACATATATACGTAAACAAATCTGAAGCCGTTCCAAATAAGGTGCTCTGGAACTCCTCATATGCTTATAGTCAGAAATGATATACGTTGAGCATAGGTAACATTTTTATTAATATGAAATTGTGCACAATGTATACTTAGGAACTAGCTAATGCTATTCCAATTCAGTGCTAGAAACATAATGTACATTCATTACATAAAATAGACACTCTGGGCCCAGGGACTATCAAATTTAATGGTTTATTTTCTAGGATCAGTTTGTGAGTCTTACTATTGGACTTGACAGGCGCGTCTATTGCCCAAACGTTTTCCAGTCAGTTCAATCCTTTCGACTGTCTGCTCACTTCTGGAAATTTTCATCTTTTGTTTTGATTGTGCTAAATAAAAAAACAAAACAAATTGAGTTGCACTATGCATAATCAGCGATTGTGAAGTCAACCGACAGTACGCTCGAAAATAGTCACAATCGACGTTTTTAAATCCAATATAATTGCGTTCTTGAAATATGGTATCTTGAATACATTTTATAAAAATAATTTGTATACCATCCTGTGATTACTGCTTTAAGTACTTTACAAAGTAACTTTTTTCTAATTTTCTTTTTTTTATTGAATTTCAGTGTATTTTAATTTTAGTTTGTCTTATTTTATTTGTCTTTTTAATTATTTTTACCTTACTAAACCCACAGATGGTTAAGTTGCGTAATAAAATTGTTATTATTATTATTATTATTTAATATATCTCACACATTGTCATACCCACAAGATTGTTTCGCAACCAAACCAACGTAGTTTAAAATAAAATGGCATCATGTAGCTTCGTTAAATGAAAGGCGACAACAAATTCGTAGCTTAAAACAAGTTTCACCATTTTGTCTCCAGTTTCCTGTCATGGTAACGTACATTTTTTATCCACATATATTGCCTCAATAACCAACACAACTTGTGGCGACAGTGTTCTTTTGCAGATTCACGCTCGTGTTGTCCCCTTATATGTCTGAATATATGCGGTTCACATTTCCTATTGTTAAACATATTTTTAAGGTAACGTACATTTCACACAATAAGTATGCACCCAATCGGATCACTTTAAATAACGTTCCTTGAGCAGTTTTTCAAACCCAAATTTATCATATGCGACACTATTTTGTAAAATTATAACTAGGAAAATTAGTCATACTATTTATAGAGCATAACGTATTTTACCAGGTTGTTTTAGTGGGACTTTGGGACATCAACATTCCCATTGATAAACCAAAATCTACGGAATTGCATAATAAGCTGGATTCCTCAATTAGAAGTTAAAGCGGGAGGATCGTCACCTGCGCACGTTCAGGAATTGAGTCCCAAGCGACAATTACACGCGCTAAAAACGCAAAGGCTCATGGGTAGACGCTTGTTTGTAAACGATGACACGCTATGACCATCTGACGCATGCGCAGGTGACGACTCCCTGGCTTTAATGTACTCGTGATTATATCAACATGACAAATTTAGCTTTTCTTTGTAATTTGAATGACTTTTTAGAGGAAAGTATTAACTTACTCCAGCACTGGGACAGTAACGTACATGCGATTATTAGAGGTTCTACGTACCATATAATAATATGTTAGGTAATACATGATTTATGGGTTTATCCTTTTGATAGATCAGTTTGTCCGCTTAAAGGAGGACGTAGCATGGGAATTCCAAACACAAATTCCAGAGAACCGCCTGGGGCATCGTTTTAAAATCCAAACCGCGAAAGTAACCTATATGTATTAAATGTATGTATCTACATTCATATTAACAATAGTACTGTTACATGCTTTGCTATGCAAGATAATATAGGAATAATAAAGGTAAGGTTTTAGAGATTTAAATATAATTTAAATTCTAACTATATTATAATCCACGAGCCTCTAACGCCAATGAATTTTATTTTTCTGAAACAAAAATATGATGGTAGATTTACAACGTCTGCTAGTTTGCACATTCAGATCTGTTGTATCGTTACAACACCCCATACTAAATTTGTTTTCTATTGTTGGAGGGCACTCCATGAATTACAATGCCAACATTATGAATAAGAATTTTCACCACTCTTAATTCACTGCATAGGCAAAATATATATAATATGTTATTTATAAAAATATCTTTAGTATCTGAAATATTTGTCTACTTTCCTTACTTGGAAATACAAGGTTCATACAACTACATCCAGTGTATAATCAATGAACTACATTTCCATAATTGCGTTAACCCCCGATGCTGGCAAAAACTCAAATATATAAAGATTTGAAATAAAAAGCCTATATTAAATCTTTATTTGTTTTCAATAAATCAACAACTGGTGTTTTGCATTGTATAACACTTTTTATCATGTGACACATTGACGACATTCTGACCATAAGTGTAGCCGTAAACGTGAAACATCACAGCAACCCGTGTAACTAACTATACAAATATCCATCATTAACATGTCTGTAAATAATGGTAATACACACTAACGTCTTCACTAATACTACTCCATCAATGTTCTCCTCACACATTTGGTCACAAATATGGATTTGGCTCACGTTAGAGTTGGAAAAAACTGCAAGAAGAATGGCATTTTATAAATCTTTACACTCTCGATAACAAAGTATATACTAGTATATATTTTAATGTGTTCGAGGAAGAGCAGTGATGAGTCACTAGTCCGGAAATCCAACAATAGATGCAGTATACACATCGTCTTCGTCTGACTGGATTGGATGTAATTAGCGAATGTGAATCATCCAATAGTTCTACAAGTCAGAAAATTGGCAAGCCAATGAGTGCAGATCAGTGCGCGATATTTGTCAAATTCCTGAATTTCCCCATCTGCAGACACAATTCGTTTTGTTATCTGATTGGTCAACATACGGAATTAACATATATAATGGGCCAATGAGTGCCTGCTACGTTTTCAAATCGCATTGTTATTCAAAGTACCAGGTCATATAAATCCCGTGACCGACGATTGTTGCTTTCAAAACGTTTAAAGTGTGCAAGCTTCTCAACGTGTTCTCATTGCAACCATGAATGTCTGTGTAGTGTTATTACTGTTGGCCGTTATCGGTGCTGCAGTGTCTGATGATGTTGGCAAAGGAGAGAACACCAGGGTAAGGATTCGAGCCGTTTTCATTCTTGGCAAAATGGTATCTTAAACTGCGCTTCAACCCAGTTTATTGGGACTAAACCCACGTCAATGTATTAACTGTGCCAGATTTTAGTGGTGAGTAGTGCATTATATGTCCGATGTACACCACATGCCCCTTCCCCGACCACGTTGGCGGCAAATAGCCAATATGATATCCAGGTATGCAGAGTGTCATTGCGTCTTTCTTCGTCAAATGAATTGTAATCACATTTCATTGTAATTCTGGTTATGGATATTTGCAATGGTGCACGAATTTTGCGCCGTTTAGTCGAATGTGATTTGTAATCAATTGATCCAATTGTGTATATTTCATCATCAGATGGATAAGCCCGTCGAGAGAGAGCTACATCACCTGTCAGATGAAAAGAAATCCGAAATGGTAAATCGCAGAAAAGAATATTTGAAAGCTCATCCCGAGGTCGAAGGCAGTCCCAAGCTCGCCCAGGAAGTAAGCAAATTGCTGAGAAATAAAAAGGAAAAGATGATGGGAATTAAACAATCGGAGCTCTCTTCCGAAGAGAAGGTTTTACAATTAGAAAATCTGAAGCAAGACTACAGAAGCCAAATTAAAACCCTCGCGATAGAAGCTAATGGCCGCGCCGAGCTCGCTGCCGAGCGTCGACGCACACTGGAGCTGAGAAAAGAACGTAAATCTGGAAGGGAAAGCAATCTAGGACATCCCAAGTTTGGAGAATCTAAGATGGAAAATTAATGGACAGTAACAGTCGGAACATATTTATTGACATGGTTGAATTGTCATTTTCTGGATTGATTATTTAAATTTGCCATCTAATAAATGATTTACAATACACTTGATTGTCCTTTTATATTAAAAACTCGTTCGATGGTGTGTGGACACTCGTGTACCAGTTTTGGTTAGTCTGTAAATTAAGTTCTGAATAGCACTTGGTTCAATTCGATGAATTGCACGAGGGCGCATTTAAGGCCTGAACGCACAGTCGGAGAGCCACACTACCTTGGCCAATTAGAATATTCAATTGCAGGACCATAAAGGTACACTAAATATCCTGTTTACGAGTCTGACCTGTGTTCTCATAAGTTGCCCAACATTTTTTACATATGAAACTCAATTCAGTGCATGGGGCATTTCATGACACCCAGGCGTGTTTATGTTGCATAATTGCCAACCACAGTAAATCCTATGTAGATTTTGTAAGTTTTTTTTTTTCATATGCAGATTCAATCTCCATTTCTGAACTTTTCAAAGAGGTAAAGGCTTGAAGTGAATTGCTGTACATACAAATCAGAGTAATGATAAATTATCTTCGTTTCGTAGATTAGCAGATAATTACTATATATTCATATGTAAATTATTCACAGGTGGGATTCTACCCGGCCTGTTCTGATTAGTTACTGGCCAAGTACTCATGAGTATACAATATTTAATATGGTTGATTCCCGACAGACGAAAATTTTAACAATAATTTTGAAATCTGGACCATCTGAAACTCCATTTCCTGATTTTTGAGGCGCACACTTTGCCGACACTAAAGGTTTCAGCTCGACTTTGGAGGGGCGATGCCTATAAAAACATTTTCGAGGGGCGGCAGCTTCCTCTCCCCACCCCTACCACTGTCTGACATCGTGTCGGGTACACATTTCCAGATGTTTCTCCCCCTTAACGGGTTTTCCTGGGCGGTCGATGTAATCGCGATGGGGCTTTGGCATCAATTATTTTGTGTATATTTACATATGTAAGTGGAATAATACCTGTAATAAACGCGTGTGGGTACTGCATCCACCGCATTTCATGCTTGCGCAACTTGTATTAATTGAAGTTGAGCACAGATGGCGACTGGGGGGGGGGGTTGATTAATTATACAAGTAACATTTGAAGAATACGATTTCCGTAACGTGATATGTTGTCTTGTTTATTTCACATGTACAGTTTCACTAACGGCAGCGCTCATTTGGAGTTTTCGTCGGAATGTCGTGGTATACCTTCGTACCTGTTTCAAGTGAACACTCAGTGCTGGTAAAGGGCAGTCTGCCTAGCGACATTTACAAGATACTGACAAGAATGTCTGTTCAAACGACACCGTCAATCGTGCCATTAACTCGTAGTTAAAAAAACTGCCACGGGGAAGCTAACGGTAGTTACACGAAGTAATTCAAATTTGTCGATTTATGAGGTGGAGCCCCGGCCCCCTAGAGTGTACGCACGTTACGCAACTCCTTTCCTTTATAAAATTACTTAGAATATGCACCCGATCCACAATTCAGTTCGTCTATTAAAAGTTTGTTCGAATCCAGCCTATGGCTGCTTAAAAATTGCAAATATTTTTTGGGAGGGGGGGGGGTTGTTTATAGAAACTAAACAATTCAACATTTTTGACCTACCAGAAATTGTACGTCATTAGCCGGTTGTAGAATCTTGCCACCGTCAAAGCGTAGTCATGAATATTCATTAGCCGATTCAGTATAACTATGGAAGGCTGGGCGAAATGAGTACCGTAAAGTAAATTACATAAACTTTGTAGTATTGATATGCAAATCGGATTTTTCATCAAGTGTCAATTAGGATTACTTTCAGGCGAGTGTTGTGCTTGTGGCGTTTATAAACAATCGCAAGTGGCAATGTTTTGAAATAGAAAAAAACGTTGAAATAAACCTTATAAAATGGAGTTTTTGTTTAGAATAAAAGCACAGTCATAGATACTGTCATAACCAATAATTTAAAATAAAAAAAATATTGAAAAAAAACATTAAACGTATGCTAACCCCTTAATCCACCCGCCGCTAAATATTATGAATTAAAAATCACAAATTTATATCAACACAATTAGTTGAACGCGATTGGCTGGAACAAACTAGGTACTGGTAATTTACTAGTTTATTGTATTCGTTCACATATTAGATCTCGACTCGAGCAATCTGCCCAATGTCTGAGAATTTCATGAATGAATACACTAAAATAAAGTCCTTTAATAGGGTAGACATGTCGCGCAATTTAATCGCATTGCGTCATGTGTTGACAGTCTCGTCCACCCATTTTGTTTTTAAAGTTAGTCGACGACCGAAATTAAATTTCGCCCGGACAAGGCGGAGAGTTCGTCGGGATAGTGGGAATTCATGAAAATACAATGTACACGTGGTAAGCCATTTATTAAAAACTAATATTCCAGGAAATGGTACACGACTTGCAGCGTAAACTTGTGCATTGCAATATTTATTATCAACCAAAATATTAATTCAATAATACAGCACCGCGGTCACTATGCAAAGTATGTTATTTAGGCTATTGGCTGAAGGGTCACGTGCATTTCTACCCTTATCGAGCCACTGGGACTGGCTTTTTTGTGCGCCTATTATCTTCACGCAATCTTCTCATTTTTTCTTTTTTCTCCTCGGGCGACAGTTCCAATTTCTTGATCATCGCCATTTCTTCCATTCTTTGTTTCGCCAGAACCTTGCGGTCATCGCTCGCAGATTTGATACGAAGTTCAGAACCGGTTAAACGCTCCTTCTTGCGGTGTTCCAGAATGGCAGTCTGCTCTGGTGTCAAACTGTGTCCTCTCGCCACGGCTTCCTTTATCTGAAACGAAATAATGCCGTAAACATACATTCACTAAATTGTCCATCGTGTGGATGCTCTCAAAATCTTCGTTACATACAACCAATCCCATTATAGTTAAACAGAAAATTTGGAAAACCTAACACGTGGATTTTCGTTCAGTGACAGCCAACTCGGGTAATGACACACACCCTAACCATATGTAAACTCGTACGTAATATTGAGTGACGTCTGTAATGGCATCGGAATACATGACACCGTAATTAAGCAGACAGGTACTATTTTACAATATGCCCGGAAATTGCGAGCTTCGTGAATGACCAGGAAAAATTACAAACAAATATAAAACATTACCTCGGAATACCCTCACGTTCTATTCAAAACCAAATACGCTTTCATTGGCAGTAGGAGCCATTTCACAATGGGGCATTACCCACAGTCTTTAAATACGCATTCACGCCTTCATGAAATTCACTGTAATTAGTGGCAATATTAACATTTAGATGCAATTTACTACAATTTACCTTAGCCAACTTGTCACTGCGTTCTGCATGTTCGGCAATGGCCACACAGACGATCGCAGACAGAAACAGCACTAAAGTGATCTTCATGATCGAGTTGATACGAGGTTATACACAGTAGAAAGACCGGTCAACCACTTTGACACGCAGAGAGAAAGGATTGACTTTACCAGGACAACTTATTTATGTACTGTCCGGGGTCATTTGATTAACAATGACAACTTATGTAACTTTAAAATGTGTACCAATAAGACGACGAGCAAAGCTGGATTATGATGTACGGCGATGGCTATTGGACCATGGTTTCTGCAACGTAAGCCGTATTCACGAACCTGTGCGTGTGTTGGTATCTAGTAACACCTGTGAACACAACGTCACTGTCCAATAAGGGATAAATTTAGAAAATCTAAATAAGTACATGAAAGTTGTACTTGTTATCGTTATTCGCGCCTTTGTACTTTCATAAAATCGTAATTTTATATTTTCTCAAAAACTTTGCCATTTCGTTTTGCCGAAGGGATTCGATTATGACTGAAACAGAAATGGGTCACTGCCCTCGTATCCAATATTGCATCCTTCTTTACCTCCATCCGTTATTATGAAAACCGAAACGAAATGACCGACTTGACTTGCGACTTGGTTAGCTGTAAAACGAATTAATCATTATCCAGAACCGGGTCTCATACAGACTAGGATGAATTCTGCTCACACTTGATACGTAGAACCGTATTGTATTTACATTTTGTCCCCACAAATCATGGGACACACGTATATACATTTTGCTACAGTAATACACATACAACGTGCCAGGTAGCGACTAGCGATACATTTCAGGGGACCGGAACGGCCATAGGCCAAGTTGATATACGCCGGCTGTTATACCTTCAATGTCAATAAGCTTAAAGCATGCAAACAAACAACCGACTTTTGATAAAAATCCATTATTTAGAAACATCATATATTTTCGGAAGATAAGAACAAGGGCCAATATCAGTCTGATTGAAATTGTACACTTGTGTTTTATTATAAATTTCGTATATTCTATTTTTTATAATATTATTTTTATTTATCTGATTATTTATAACATATATTTTTTTATCATGTTGTTTTAACTATCACCACATTCCTTTTGGATTTCGCGATTACCCACACTTACATAAATAATAGATTATAATAAAATAAATGTATAAACAAATATTAATTAACCTATTAAAAAAAATACAAATAATTATAAGAAAATAAAAACTTATTACATGTGTGCGATTTTTAACTTGTAAAGTATTAAAATGGCTGCATTCAACAGGAATGAACGTAAAAATTAATGTATGTGTAATTTCTGCAAAACATCGGAAATAAATAAATGAGACTCGTTACCATTCGGATGAAATGCACGTACGTGACGTTTTGGACGGTCATGTAGTTTTTCTGGCTACGCAAAACAAACACAGGAATGTTTAGTGTAGCACATTAGTCACATTGCGTGCTGGTAGAAATGA